TTCTATTCTGAACTCATTCCACTTGCCAACAAAAACAAGGAAGTGTGTGTGAGCCAGTCAAAATGTGAGTCACACTGTCCTGGCCAGTGTGGCCCAGTTGGTTGGAAAGTCGTCCCCTGAACCAGAAGGTGGGGGGTTCGATTCCCAGTCCGGGCATATGCCCAGATTTCAGGTTTGATGCCGGGTCTGGGCATGTGAGGGAGGCAGCTGATTGACGTTTCTCTCTTTCTTTCTCTCCTTCCCTCTCTCTCTTAAATCAATTTTTTTTAAAAAAAAAGTGAGTCACACCAAGTTCCAGGGAGACATACAAACAAAATTCAGTCACAAACTATGACAACACACTCACTGGGCCACAAATGTGGGCCACTCCAAACCCACATTTCAGAAATAGAAGCTCTTCAACCGGTACAGACTGGTACACGTTTCACTCAGACCCTCCTCAACCCCCAAAACTGCCCAGCAAGTGTGCAAACTCAAAACTCCCAGAAGGGCCCATTTTTTAAATCTAAAATCCAGTTGTTTGTTGTTCCAGGTCCCTCAACTTGGAAAAAAAAAATGAAGTAAAAGAAACTCACCACTTGGCTTTTTGAAACATTATCAACTAATGCCAAACTGGCATCAATAATGGCTATATTTAAAACAAAGAGTATAAAATAGAAGAGTCTGTATTCTATAGGGTGGGCTAGTTCAGTTTAGTTTTTTAAATCCATTTAATAAAGCATCAGTCTTGGTGGTGGTGATATATGTGACATAAGTTGCAGGCTTTTTGACAAGGGAAAAGTTTCTGACAATGAATCTGAGAAACAAATGATATAACATATTACAGATGCAAGAACTGCACCAGCCCAGAGCAGTTTTTGGATAGTGTCAACTTTTAGACAATTTGATGACTGATTTAATTATGAAATGGTCAACCTTTAGTAGAAGAGAAATGCTGGCTGAAGGGCAGACACTTTGTTCCCTTCATCTCCAAACAACAACCAGCATCACTAACCTTAACAGCTTTGAATCTGATACTTAAACCCATCTGTTCAACCGTAGTTAAATTAATAATCATAATCATGGCTCCCTGAAAAATTTCACAATTGGCTGCTCAACTGTGATTTTTTTTCTCTCTCAATTTCAGAATATGGCTTTCTAGGGAAACCTCTGGGAGTAAAAAGCCATTGTTACACAATATCTGTTGTTTATGTTTTCACCATGAAGCAACGTTTCTTTAATATAGAATCAAGACACAGCCCCAAAGAGGAATGCATGTGCATTCATTAATTCACTCATTCACTTGTTGTGAAAACGTGAATAAAATCAGGTCAGAAACACGTAATATCTTTGAAAAGATGGATGATGAATGAGGCCTTTTAGTAAACAACTTGGAAAATGTGCTGTTTGGGGTATAGGTACTTTTAAAAATGGGAGATGAAAAACTCAAAAAGTTAATGTACCAAATGACCAACATAACCTAAATTAACTATAAAAGGCAAATATTTCATGAATATGAAAGACAGGTTTTAAAAACAAGTCAGCTAAGTCAGTAACCCAGGGGGGAAAAAAATGACCTTGTTCTGATATCTCTCATGCTGGTACAGAGAGTGACAAAAAGACTGCAGAAACAATAAATGACCTCTCCCTCACTGAACTTGTTTCCAAAAAAGGTCTATGGTGCCCTTGGAATTAGGCACTATTGATCTGGAACTACAGTGTGCCCTAGATTTCAAGTCAACATTGGTCCACAAAGGCCAGATTAGTACATTTTTTTTAACTAGCTACCAGAACAAGTGATAGATGCTGGTCAAAGATAATTTAATCAAAACCTGAGCCTACCTTTCTCAATAACAAACATCTTTCAAGTTTTGTCCTTTAAAAGTACCGTGTTTTACTATACCACGTCTGCCTCATAAACGTAAAAGAGAAATATTGGTTAAAACTAAGTAGGTAAAATTACTGTTATTACTCAAAAAACTGTTAATAAAATTTAAAGCTTTGGCATACTCAAGTCCCTAAGCCAGGGCTAGTTTCTTGAGGGAAAAAGCATAAATCTGAATTTGGCTCATCAGGATAACATCCCAAAAGTATTCTTTACTTGACTGGTTTTTGCAGCTCCATTTCTGGGTATTACAAACTCCATCAGCCAGGGCTCCAGTGATCAGCCCACAAGAATTCCACATCACCTCCTTTTCTTTCCTACTGAAAAATACAGTATGTTTTACGTGCTTCCTATAGAACACAAATAGAAAAGACTTGTCCACCAGTATTTCAGAGCCATGAGGAAATTTCTGTTCTGAGTCTAAAGCACAAACCAAAATTAAAATGTTCCGGCCTTTCCAGTAAAGCACACCTGCCCTTTGCAAAAATCCTGTTCTTTCTCCACCCTGTGCTAATTAATTTTTTCAGAAACTGAGAACAATATAGACCCAGGTGGTTTTATAAACAACGGCAAACAAAATATTCTTTCTAGCTCTGAAATTTAACTGTCATCTGGCTAGAAAGATAGAGAACCCCATCTGTGAAGTCCTGAATCTCCACACTTCCTGACTTGGGTTTATTGGATGTAACGTGGTGGCTTCTTCCTTTCCCCGTCTCCGGGAAATGCCCTTTCGTTCAGGCACTGGGGATGCAGCTTTTGACTCACAATGAAGTCGAAGTCCACGCCCGCCTGTTTCCTCCCAGACCTGGCAACAGAAGGATCCTCACTGTGAGGAACAGTGGTGAATGAAAAGGGAAACTTGACTCAGGAGTCTCAGCCCATACATTTT